TAAAAATTATAGTGGATCACACCAGCCGATGACCACCAAGCCGTGACCAGAATCTTTTTTTCGTGAGGGTTCGGCTTTGAAAATTACCTCGGTGGTTCGTCGAAATCCAACCACTGTCCGGAACGTCTCCTTATCATACATGACCCATTTTTCATCACAGGTGACAATTCGGTCCAAAACAGGTCGTTTCTGCTGCGCAAAAGCAATGCAGAAGGAACCTCGAGACGTGCCGATTCCTGCCGGTCACTCCGATTGTGGGGCACCCAATTGTCGAGTTTTTCACACCTATCCCAATGTTCCAGACCATCCGCCACAACAGTGGATTGACCAACGCCTAGCTTTTCTGCAATCCCTCGAACTGTTTGGGATGGGTCAGCCTCCAAAATCCCCGAAAATCCTCGCCAGGTATTGCTTAGGTCGACCTCTATGATGTTCAACCTTCAGGCTGTAATTCTTCCCAGAATGAATTTGTTGAAGAGATTGTTCGCACAGTGCTTTCTCTAGCACTATTGGGCTTCCACACCTGGTTTAATTTGTTGAGCTGTTTCGATTGCGGATTGCCCCAATTTATAGTCGAAGAAAAAAATCGTCCAAAGTGCTCTTTTCACATGCTTGAAAAATCTTGAAAAAGGGGGTTTTTATTAAGAAATGGTGAAACGGCGTTACCATCAGATAGCGCAAGAAATTCTCTACAGGATGTGCTACTGAGAAGCAAGGCAGAATGAGTTTTTAATCAGCAGTGAATGTACAAAAAATAGGTGCACAAAACGCTGAGAACTTTCCGGACAACCTAATATCTACAACCTACTCCTGTCGCAGGCTGGGTGGACGCTATCGGTCAGATTTCAAAATTCGGGGCCACAAGAGTAGCGCCTGGTAACGCTAGGAGCTGAGCCAATGTCGCGCTTCTGAGTCAATGTCGAGGTTTAAGATAAAAAGAAAGACGCACTGCGGCCCCAGACATGACCGTATAAGTATATTGCGACCTTTCCAAAGATTCCCCCTCAAAAGCTTCCTCGTTAACCTCACTCAAGTTCAAGATACCGCCAGAAACTTTTAGAAAAAAACGAGCATTACGAAGAATGCTCGGATCACAGGTAGGACTTGCACCTAACCCTTCTTCTTACTTTCACTTCATCTAAATTATTCCAACTACTTTATTTATCTATTTATCCATTCTATTCTTTATCCATTCTTTATTCTTTCTTCATTCTTTATCCATTTATTTGTCTTTATTTATCCATTCTATGACTTAGAATTTGAAAGAGGAGAAACTAGTTCATCGACCTTGAGTATTTTCAGGGATAAGACCGTGAATAAAAATGGTTCAGTGTGGATTTTGCTGCGATGTATGTACTTGATTTGACGCCCAACTCCTACGTCTTATCAAACAGGAATAGTGGCTCGTGCAGTGACTCGACGACATCGTTGTGTGAAACTCAGTGACACTTCGGGAGTCGTGTTGGTCCTAATTGTTGACTTTTCCGCAGTTAACGTCTGTATCTCACTGGCCGCGCGGGAAAGCTATATACCAGCTCCGGTAGTTGATCGAAGGGATCCACCTCCTCTCACTCAATAAGAATTAAAGGGAAAATTTGGATTCGGTAAGAGTGAAAGTAGGGTGTGTGAGACTGGGTCAGGAGGGAATTCGAGGAGAGGTAACGACCCTCCTCCCCCCTCCCCTTCCACACATCACGATATCTTACCCTGATGACTCTGTTATACTTTGTTAACCCTTTCGTTTCAATATCATTTTCGCCGATAACCCACAACGAGCTTAGTAATGAAGACAGGCCCTTACTCTCTTTAAATATATGTGAAAGATCTGATAAATGAACAAGATAATAAGGTTCTGAAGACTAACTGCAGAGGTGATTCGCTTGCAACACCCTTTACATGATGCAGATGCGCCCTTGGTAATTCAATTTAACGGTGGCGCATTACTAGCCCCTCTCAATAATTATATTAGAGAGAAGTGATATACTTCCACTTTGGACAAAATGGCTAATGAAAGGAGAAGTATATAAAGGAAGTGTCATGGTTCAAGACTAGATTTCCTGCAGAGCGCTAGAATCGAAGATAGAATAGGGTGAGTTGAGGTGGTCAGAGGTTGACGCAGCTAGGAGCTTCGAGGAGCTTCGAAACCAAAATGAGCAGCTCCTTGCTGTACTGTGGGCCGCCATAATTGAATTACTAGCAAGGTCTAATACTAACTGAGCAAGCCAAAAACAGCACCACCACGAAAGACACTTTAAAGCATCCTACAAACATGCCTGGAAAACGTGTGTGCAGGAAGGAAAATAACAAAGAGTCGGGCACAATGGTAGGCAGTGGAATTTCTTGGAAATGCGTCATGACTTTGGCTCGTACATGCATTTACCCTTCCAATGACTAAGGCCTAATTGGTAATCAAAAAATAGCCTTCCTCACCATCATCCACATGTACGTCTCTGGAGGCGACGAGCCTAGCCCAGCAACACAGCGAAAGTTCAATTACTACGAATTGTGACGCAAGGACCGAACTTAAATAAGAAATAGAGTGTAACTTTTAACAAGTCAACCCATCAACCTGCAGGTGGATAGCAATAATTTCCTAGTCCTCAGGAGCCTCGAAAAGGATATTTCCGGGGAACTTGCTTCGCATCGCCACTTTCAAACGAAGTGCACCCAAGCTCTCCATCCCCAGCGTATGGATAGTAAGTAGAGTGAACCGATAAAGTGATTGCTACGCCATTCATTCATTGCTACGCCAACAAAGAAATACTAAGCTTCATCATTCTCTGCAATAAATTTTTCCTGCGCATGAAAATAAGAAATAAAATAAGCAACTCAAAACGCAGTCATCTCTGAGCTCAACTAGTTATGTTCATGAATATTGCTTTGAAGCTCTCGATTCGATATTTGTCGGTCAACTGTCACCTATCGCCTATTATTCATCAACTTTCTCGAATGGGCGCTAGTAACGTCTTCATGCAGCCTCTTGGGAACCAGAGGTAGTTATTGTGGATTTTCCCAGCACAAATGAATACGGCGTCAGATATTCCATTTGCGCGCAGGTATTGGTATCGGGATCGAGTAGACCATGTTTATTGGTAAGTATCGCATATGTTGAAAGCGTACAACTGCTCACTCTTTCGATGGCATCTTGAATAGGTAATACAACGTAACAGAAAGTGTTGTCGTTAGACAGCGTTCAGACGTTGCGATGACGCGCGTCGACGCGCTACGTTCACAACAGCGCTCCAATGATATAGATGCGAACACGTCATACCAGCCTGCGACACCGGGCGACACTTACCATCCTATTTCCCGACCGTTTGCTACACAAGTGAAGATGATATTAATGGGAACATTTGTGCATTAATAGCAAAGTGAGAACGAAGAACCAATAATAACTGAAGTAGATTTCTTATGAGGTCTACTACCTACCCCTTGAGTCTCATCACAATAGCGGTACCAGCACATTCACTTCTCTCCATCTTCGGTCTCTTACGATGAGATAGGCATTGCGAACAGCAACTGTTGGGTTTTTTTTCGGCCTCCGTAATGTGAGGTGCTCGGAAGGCATGAATAGAAAGTTTCACCATTTCAAAAGCTTCTAACCAGTATTCAGCATAATTTTACAACATCAAAATGCAGCTAAACGTCAAACCAAACCAATTCCGAAGCACTCTAAAAACTTGAGATGAAGAGGTCAGTAGCAAGTACTACATCTGCAAATATGAACCAATAAAAATTATTCCAAATAGTATGACTTCGATCACGACGTTTCTTCCCTCTCAGCAGGCTCAGCTATTTGTGACGTGCACGAAAAAACCTTTAGCTGTCAAATCTGACGTTTCCGGTATGTGGTATGTATATCTGGAATGGTGAAGCTATCTGAGAGCTTCTTCAACTGGATAGATGTCTGAGCACTCACTTGGCTATCCATTTAGTCTTTATGGAAGTACCAGAATTGGTGATTTTGTTTATTGAGTTGAGCACCTATAAATGAAATAGAGATAGGGGAAACAAGGAGTAGATGGAGCTGTAAGCAAGATGCAAAGCCACAACTCACGTCTTCTCCAAATGCCCACTCTTTGGGATCATCATGGGTGGCGAGTTGGATATTATGTGCCTCAGCATAAACGAACAAGTCCGTTGGAATCTGTAAGTTTCTCGAATGAAACCGCCAAGCTATCATTTTTCCTTTGACTATAATTTTGATTGAAAATTCTGTTTTCGCTGAGATAGGGGAGTAGAGGAACTGTACAGCTGCGCTCTTACTCTGCGGCAGCGTCCATCAGCGTCTGCCTGCGTCTTCGGCGTCTACGAGCGTCTCGAGGGCTAGGAAATCATAGATATCGATCCAGCGTCTGCTAGCGCATACCAGTGACCGGTAGTAGAGAATATGGGGAAGTAGGAGGGTAGCAAGCAGCTGGATTAGGTGTCGGAAAATTGCGGCGTGTGCAACCGCACCACACCAATCCAATGTACGGTGTAGTGTAGTTGTACAGTGCGGTTGCACGCACCGCAACTGCACGACGCCTAATCCAGCTGCTTGCTACCCTCCTACTTCCCCATACTCTGTATTCCCGCTCGCTTGTGAACGCTGCTGGACGCTGATGTGCGCTGGCGAGAATCTAATCGATACTATGGTTCTCTAACCCTCGAGACGCTGGCCGACGCTGGTGGACGCTGTGATGCTACATCGATATCTATACTTTCCCAGTCGCTGACGCTATCGGACGCTCTAAACGCTAGTAGATGCTGGTAGATGGTGGTGAATGCTGCCGCAAAGTACGAACGCAGCCTAAGGTCTATTCATGGTCCGCGAGATTGAAGCAGACCCACGGCGTCAAACCTTGTGCTGGTGCGAATTCGACAAGCTGCAACATGTCTTCTTTTAAAGGATAGAGCTTCCATTCGGAAGTCAATTCATATCTTCGCCAGTATCAGAGTATGTAGATACCAGTGTCGGATACTGGTATCTAAACCTCTCTGTCAATTGCTCATGTTGTTCTCCTGGCACTGATGGCTCAAGGACGAGCTGTACACTCACCTTCGAGGACAGTCCTTACCGTGTACGAGGCGAATAGGTGAACGGATATAATAGCATGCCACTTTCTCTTCTTGAATGTGCACGGAAGCGGGACTGCAGGGTAATGGTACTCGAATGCCATCTCCGGACTCCACCTGTGCTATTTCCGAGCTATCCTCAAGGTGCAGTATTTGCGTCGATACCAAGACCCTGCAGCGAAATACGTACTACGGCTACGGCGAAATACGGCGATAGGGAACAAAGAGAAGTGAGAGGGCGCAGACAAGTAGCGCATTTGGCTATGGTCAGGCATGTG